TATCTCAGCATAGATTAATATAATAACATTTTATCAGTAGACATCATTTAAGAAATAGGAGGAAGACCTTGCATGTAAGGTCCCAGCTGGGTATACCAGCCAGTACACAATCTGGCTACGTTAGTGTGTTAGCGCATGCGCAATATCTCACCAGAGGAGTTATATTTTGTGATGAATATGCATTTAAATTGGTTAGGGGGTATCTCAGCATAGATTAATATAATAACATTTTATCAGTAGACATCATTTAAGAAATAGGATGATGACCGTGCATGTAAGGTCCCCGCTTCGTATACCAGCCAGTACACAATCTGGCTACGTTAGTGTGTTAGCGCATGCGCAATATCTCACCAGAGGAGTTATATTTTGTGATGAATATGCATTTAAAATGGTTAGGGGGTATCTCAGCATAGATTTCCCTAATAAACTTTTATCAGTAGACCTGTGTTTATAATTAGGAGAGCGCTCTAGCATGTACTTTATGTTATTACATTATATTACAAAACACCTACTTTATGCCCTCGCGTCTTCCCCTTGCCTCCCCTGTCCCTCGCTCAGCCTCCTTCTTCTTCTATCGCCCCAGCTATCTTCCCTGCCGGATTTCCTCAGTCTCCCACCCCTTCTCCCCCTCAGCAAGCTATATTATGAAGTTTGCCTCAGACGGCACTGCACACCTAACACGGTACGCGCGCATGCGCAATATCTCTAGTAAGAAATCGTATTTTGCAAAGATTTAGCAGTTATCCTAGCATAGATTTATATGATAATATTCCATCAGTAGACATCATTTAAGAAATAGGAGGAAGACCTTGCATTTAAGGTTCCCGCTGCGTATGCAGGCGACAGATATCCACATCCAAGTGTGGCCTTAAGCCACTAGGGCTCCGCTAGCGCAATAATATACTGTGCAAGTGATGCAGCCTATTTTTCTTTGCTGGAAGCAGTATAGCTTACAACCAAAGCTTACCACACAATACTATATGGATGGCATTAGGCCCCCGTCATACAAATACTATATAATGTGGTCTTGGGCCCCCATCATACACTATTATACACTATTATTACATAATAATACATAATACATAATACATAATACATAATACATAATAATACATATTATTACATAATAATTACCCATAATACACTATTATTACAATTCTATATAGGAGGCCGTGTGGCCCCCGCCATACAAATATAACGCCGGCAACACTATATAACGTGCTACTAATAACTTACCGAGTGCTGCACTGGCGCTTGGCTTGTTTTTTCCTTATTCATGCTATACCTATGCCTATGGGTAATACAATCGGTATATACCATGGTAACGTGTTTTAGCATTACTAAAATACGTAAGAACTATTTTCGGTCGCGGAAGGGTTATTGTCGGAGTGAGCTGAAGGGGGCTAGAGGCCATCGGCGAGGGAAAACCACACTTGGATGTGGATATCTGTCGCCTGCTTCAATTTTACCAAAGCGATGGCGCCGGTTTGCACGCTGGTTCCTTGTTCATAGATATGACGCGTGTAAAATAGCTGGTAATTGTTGGTAATTGATGGCGGGTAAGTCTTTAGGATGGCGTTTGGTATTTCAGGTAATTTTTCTAAATTTAATGATTCTCGTTGGTTCGAAAAATGTATGCAATAATCGGCTGTTCTATCGTGAAAACATTCGGGTAATTGCATTTTTTTTTACTTCATTATAGTAATATTTATTAAGGGGTCATTGGTTACCTTAGCTAGGTAATAGGCCGGCTCTCCGTTATGTGGTGACAGTAAATCAGCTAAAATACTGCGACAAATGTTGAAATGCTGGTCGGAACAAGGACGGTAAGAATGTGTAAACCTAGGTATTCACTAGAGGGCAGCACTAGTTTGTATCTGTCGCTTCGCCTGCCTCGAGTGCCTTCACGCAGAGAGACTATTTTGATATTCCAATTAGGACAACATGCAGAGTGAGAAGCCGTCTAATAGTGATAACGGGATTAACAGCGCTGATGATACGTTGACACAAGCTTTCTTGCACATTAAATAACCCGTTAAAAGCGTAAACATAATTGTCGTTAAATACAAATAATAATTGAGTAAATACACGTGTGTACTCATTCATCTCTACACTACTAACTGTTGTAGAGCTGCTGCTCCAATAACAGCAATCATTACATGTGGGAAGAAACACGTCAATTGCGCAGTGTGAATTGGTTTACACAGCCAGGTCGATTTCATAGTTAATTTTCATGACGCAATTACAACAAGCGCTCACGTTAACTAGAAACAGTTTCGTGGACATCTTCTAATGAGCAGTGTCAACGTCAAGAACTAGTCGCGCGTGTCACGTCATTACTGTTACGTAATCAGGCTGAATGAATGAAACGCCGAACAAACAAAAGAACGAACGAAAGAACGAATTAACGAATGAACGAATGAACGAATGAACGAATGACCGAACGAATGAACGAACAAACAAACGAATAAACCAACGAACGAACGAACAAACGAACGAATGAGTGAGCGAACGAACGAACAAACGAATGACCGAACAAACGAACGAACGAACAAACGAATGACCGAACAAACGAACGAACGAACAAACGAATGACCGAACAAACGAACGAACGAACCAACAAACGAATGAATGAACGAGCGAACACTTCAAATGCGTGATGACAGAGTGGAGACCATTCATCGCTTCAAGCATGTGACAATCGTCGTAGATTCTTTTATGCAGTACCGCCGCGGTGCGTACTATCCAACACGAGGCGGCGAACAACGCAGAGAGCGGGGAGCCACAGCGTAACGCGATTCCCTAATCATTCCAGCTTCCAGCATAAATGGCGAGTGCTGCCTCCCTCTGATCCTCATGCACCTACTCTCCGTGTTTTTGTATTACGCAGAACCTTCGCTATACATGCAGCGAGCGAACGCCATGTATCGCTCGTAATAAAAAACATAAAAAAATGTCCGTCTCTTTGAAGTACGAGCCCATAAGTAGTGCGTCTAATACGATAGCATGGACGCCTGTCGTGATAGAGCCTCTCTGTAGGCGATTTCTATAGAGCTAGCTAGAGTAGTCGGTCTCTGTAGGCATGGCAGCTGCGCGGGGTGCGCGCGCATCGCGACGCTCTGTCGACGAGTACTGACACCTACGTCGGCGGCCAATCTACTCGTCGTTTTTACTCTGTTTCGCGTCGGCTGACATAATGTAGAGCTGTGCCGGGGTAAGGAAGGAAGAGCAAGAGGAAAGGGAGGAGGGTGCAGAGGAGGAGGGGAGGAAGATAAGATAAGGGGAAACAGGGAGGAGGGGAAGGAGAGGAGGGAGAAGGGGGAGAAAAGTAGAAGGAGAGGAGGAGGGGAGAAAAGGAGGAAGAGGGGGAAAGAAAAGTAGAAGAAGAGGAGGAGAGGACATGCCACGAAGGCTGCACACGTTGATGATATACGCCACATATAGACACATAAAAATCCTCAGAGCGACCGAGCTCGCGTTTTTAAACAAGCTGCGTATATTGCTCGTCTAAAATTAACGTTTATGAATTTAATTTTATTATCATTTTATGTCTGTCGTATATTTTATGAGGTTCTGTACTTGATATCGTTAAATGGGCCATCAAACCCAGAGCTGGTGTAAGAATCCCAAGATGGCACAACGGGGTACAAAAATATCAAGAGAAGACTTGTACAATATGATTTGCGCTAGGATTTGTAACACAAATTGTCCCATAAGTCCACTACATTACTATGACTCCACCACTACTATATTTTGTACGCACCATTGTGTGTTTGACGCTTAATAAATATATATACGATAGATGTATAATATATGTAAAGTATACCTGTAGAATAGACGTGTTATAATATATGCCCACCTTGGTCGACGAAAAAAAAATGCTTCGCTGAACCGCATGGTTACTAACGGCATACTAGTACACCGTGACACGCCGTCTCTCGCAGGCATCTAAACTTTCCACGATATCTGGCCGGAGCAGGGTCAGGCCTCGGGGTGTGAGTGGAGGTGTCACGGAAGGGGGGCATCTCCCACCCACTGTCAACCATGTCGACCTGCTTTCTCGCCCCGTCGATCGATCAACGAGCTGCGTGTCAGCGATAGCTCCCGTAGGAGGAGGAGGCAGTGGCGGCGGCGGCGACGACCGCGGCGGTTCACGGTGTCGTTGTTTCGCTGCTAACTACCCGTTACAACCCACTTATTAGGACCTGCCCCCCTTAATGACGGTGATCCATCAGTGCGGGGAAGTGCACAGCATTGTAGACGCTCTAGCCTCACCGCCCGCCGCTCGAATGGCCAGCAACTAAACTGGTATTTTCGCCGCCGGAGAAGTAGGCGGGTGTGCGTGCGCCTCCGTGCACCTATATAGCGAGAGCGGTGAGATGGGCAATTCATTCAGCTTTCTTCCTAGAACGCACACGCGCGCGCAGACACACGCGCACATGCACGAGTGGACACGCGCACCCTGCGTGCGACTGGACACATAGATGCACGCACGACTGGACGTTTGGACCGAGACGCTACACCATCCATGCGTATGCGCACGTACCGAGAGACGCCTGCACGCACGAATGTATACACGCACGCACGACGACTGGCCACATGCCATCGCACGCGCTCACGCGCAGTCGGTGCGTCAGTGTACGCGCGCGCGTGTGTGTGTGTGTGTGTGTGTGTGTGTGTGTGTGTGTGTGTGTGTGTGTGTGTGTGTGTGTGTGTGTGTGTGTGTGTGTGTGTGTGTGTGTGTGTGTGTGTGTGTGTGTGTGTGTGTGTGTGTGTGTGTACGTACGCAATACAACGAAGAATATTTATCCTTCATTAATGCCGATAACAGAGAGAGATACAGCCGTTTGACCACAAATCAGAAGTATTGAGGTGAGAGTAAGCAGAGGGAGAGAGATACTAGTATATGGATGCACGGCAGAATGAGGGGAGAGAGAAAGAGTGGAATATATAAACAGGGCTGTAGGCTGAGCAAAATATCTAGGGGAGCACAATTTCATGGCTCAGCTGTGTAATGATGAGGGAGGAATGCTTGATTGACGTCCATAGTGTGGGTTTCACGAACGAGTGGCCACAATCATTGCGCAAAATTAAGGCTTTTAGGGGTATTTTTATGCTTAATTAGATGCGTGTTCATTTATTGTTCCGTGACTTTTATGTAAAATTTCCTGATTATTTGAGGGTTGAATGAATTCCCCGACTTTTTTCTGATTTCCCTGATATCCAGATGAGTGTTCAACCTACCAAGACCATGGATTAATAACAAGGAAAGCTAGAAATATTCTCTTAAAGTTTCCAGAATCATAACTTCCCCAACGCACATATATATATATATATATATATATATTCATCAAAGTATTCACATATAAAAACGCATGTAATAATAAAACCTTTTCAGTGAACACAGTGTTAAGTGAGAAATACTATTACTACTGGAGTAAAAATGCGCTTTGCTCGATACTAGAAATAGAAAGACGAATCTGTGTTAAGGCATTTTTATCCCACTATTTTACTCTACAATTAAAGCCTCTCCACCTCTGCAGGAAATGCGCAGTAGATAGAATATTAGGTGGTTGTGTGCATGGTGTAAGACGCTATCGTTTGAATGTAGCATTTGTATATATGGTATATATAGTGGTCTTATATTACACAGATGTCATAAATATGTATACGTATGCCTTAAGAGTTTAGGCCTTTTTCAATATCCTAGGCCAACGTCTGACATCTGACTGACAGCATAGCTTTTAGACGGTTCAGTGGTTTTGTCATATA